CACAAGTGACAGGACGGGGACATGGGGAGCTGGCGCTTGTGCAGCGCTGCTCCCTGGCATGGGGATGGGTTGGGGACACGGGGAACTGGCGCTTGTGCAACGCTGCTCAAGTGACATGATGGGGACATGGGGAGCTGGCACTTGTGCAGTGCTGCTCAAGTGACAGGACGGGGACACGGGGAGCTGGCTCTTGTGCAGTGCTGCTCAAGTGACAGGACGGGGACACGGGGAGCTGGCTCTTGTGCAGTGCTGCTCAAGTGACAGGACGGGGACACGGGGAGCTGGCTCTTGTGCAGTGCTGCTCAAGTGACAGGACGGGGACACGGGGAGCTGGCTCTTGTGCAGTGCTGCTCAAGTGACAGGACGGGGACACGGGGAGCTGGCTCTTGTGCAGTGCTGCTCAAGTGACAGGACGGGGACACGGGGAGCTGGCTCTTGTGCAGTGCTGCTCAAGTGACAGGACGGGGACACGGGGAGCTGGCTCTTGTGCAGTGCTGCTCAAGTGACAGGACGGGGACACGGGGAGCTGGCTCTTGTGCAGTGCTGCTCAAGTGACAGGACGGGGACACGGGGAGCTGGCTCTTGTGCAGTGCTGCTCAAGTGACAGGACGGGGACACGGGGAGCTGGCTCTTGTGCAGTGCTGCTCAAGTGACAGGACGGGGACACGGGGAGCTGGCTCTTGTGCAGTGCTGCTCAAGTGACAGGACGGGGACACGGGGAGCTGGCTCTTGTGCAGTGCTGCTCAAGTGACAGGACGGGGACACGGGGAGCTGGCTCTTGTGCAGTGCTGCTCAAGTGACAGGACGGGGACACGGGGAGCTGGCTCTTGTGCAGTGCTGCTCAAGTGACAGGACGGGGACACGGGGAGCTGGCTCTTGTGCAGTGCTGCTCAAGTGACAGGACGGGGACACGGGGAGCTGGCTCTTGTGCAGTGCTGCTCAAGTGACAGGACGGGGACACGGGGAGCTGGCTCTTGTGCAGTGCTGCTCAAGTGACAGGACGGGGACACGGGGAGCTGGCTCTTGTGCAGTGCTGCTCAAGTGACAGGACGGGGACACGGGGAGCTGGCTCTTGTGCAGTGCTGCTCAAGTGACAGGACGGGGACACGGGGAGCTGGCTCTTGTGCAGTGCTGCTCAAGTGACAGGACGGGGACATGATGGGGACCCAGGGAGCTGGCGCTTGTGCAACGCTGCTCAAGTGACATGATGGGGACACAGGGAGCTGACACTTGTGCAGCACTGCTACATGGCATGGGGACATGTGACAGGGACGCAGGGAACTGGTGCTTGTGCAACACTGCTCAAGTGACATGATGGGGACATGGGGAGCTGGCACTTGTGCAACACTGCTCCATGGCATGGGGACATGTGATGGGGACACGAGCTGGTGCTTGTGCAACACTGCTCGAGTGACAGGACGGGGACACAGGGAGCTGGCGCTTGTGCAACGCTGCTCCCCAGCATGGGGACATGACAGGGACATGAGGCGCGTGCCCGCGTCCCCCTCGCCCGCGTCCCCGCGCCGTTGTCCTTAACCGCGGCGGCAGCTTCCACGAGTTCTGCATCCGCGGCTGGTGCATCGTGGGCAAGAAGCAGACGTGTCCCTACTGCAAGGAGAAGGTGGATCTCAAGAGGATGTTCAGCAACCCGTATCCTTCCCCAGATCCTCGTGCTCCTCGCGCCCCTCGGGCTCCTCGTGCCCCTCACGTTCCTCGGGCTCCTCGTGCCTGTCGTGCCCCTCATACCCCTCACGTTCCTTGCACCCCTCGTGCTCCTCATGCCCCTCGCATTCCTCTTGCCCCTCGTGCTCCTCGGGCTCCTTGGTCTCCTCATACTCCTGATGTTCTTCGTGCCCCTCGCGCTCCTTGTGCCCCTCACGCCCCTTGTGCTCCTCATGCTCCTTGCGATCCTTGTGCCCCTTGTGCCCCTCGCGCCCTTCGTGCTCCTTGTGCCCCTCGTACCCCTCATGTTCCTCATATTCCTCACACTCCTCACGTTCCTTGTGGCCCTCGCGGCCCTCATGCTCCTCGGGCTCCTTGGGCGTTTTGTGCCCCTCATGCCCCTCGTGCTCTTTGTGCGCCTCGTGACCCTCATGTTCTTCCTCCTCCTCGCACCCCTCGTGTCCCTCGTGCTCTTCGTGTCCCTCGTGCTCCTCCTCCTCCTCGTGCCTCTCGCGCCCCTTGTGTCCCTCGTGCTCCTCATGTCCCTCGTGCTCCTCCTCCTCCTCGTGCCTCTCGCGCTCCTCGTGCCCCTCATGTTGCTCGCATTCCTCATGCTCCTCATGTTCCTCGTGCCCCTCGTGCCCCTTGTGCTCCCATTGCCCCTCATGCTCCTTGTGTTCCTCCTCCTCCTCGTGCTCCTCGTGCCCCTTGTGCCCCTCATGCCCCTTGTGCTCCCGTTGCCCCTCATGCTCCTCGTGCCCCTCGCGCTCCTCCTCCTCCTAGCTCTCCTCGCGCCCCTCGTCCCCCTCGTACCCCTCGCGCCCCTCGTCCCCCTCGTGCCCCTTGTGCTCCTCGCGCCCCTTATGCCCGTCGTGCTCCTCGTGTTCCTCGCGCCCCTCATGCCCCTCACGCTCCTCCTGCCCCTCGTGCCCCTCGTGCCGCTCGTGCTCCGTGTGCCCCTCGTGTTCCTCCTCCTTGCACCCCTTGCACCCCTCGTGCTCCTCGCGCTCCTTGGGCATTTCTTGCCCTTTGTGCTCCTTGTGCCCCTCGTGCCCCTCG